TAATATGTATGCCGTTCTGTCGATTTGATTTTTGTCTGGTAAGTTGTAATTGTAAATGTCATGGCAGTATATACTGTAGAGAAAGGGTGAGAGAGAAGATCCTTGAGGGAGCCCTTGTTCAGGGGGAAAAGGAAAGGAGAGTGTGTTGTCAATTCGTACTTGTAGTTGTCTGTTTTCTAATAAGTTTTTTATGGTGTGTAGTAGATATGGTGGTGTGTGGAGTTTGTATAGTTTGTATAGCAAGCCCCTATGCCAGACATTATCAAAAGCCTTGTTGATGTCCATGAGTAGACATGCCGACTTTCTGTCAGTTAGGTGAGTTGTTTGTATGTTGTTGGTCAAAATAAATAGCGGATGAATAGTCGAGTGATATTGGTTGAAGCCAAATTGGTAGGTTGGTATATGTTTTCCGATCAGTTCTTCGAGTCTCTGTTTAAGTATGTGTTCCAAAACTTTGTCCAGCACCGGGAGTAATGTAATAGGTCTGTAGTTTTTCATTTGTGTACCGTCCCGTCCATTTTTAGATATAGGAATTATTACACCACTTTTTCATGTTTTCGGAATTTTTTTGTCTTTTCCCGGTGCTGTCTTTTTGATGTGTGATAGGGCTTTATAGTACTATAGTTCCAGTTGTCATTGTCGAAGTTAGGGTTTGTCGATATGCTGAATACCTTTTGATAGTGTCCGGCGAATGCGTCAGCTTTCTCTTTGTCTGTGTAACGTTCTATTCCGTTTTCGTCAATTGTGTCAGTAGTGTTAGTTTCCTTGTATTGTGCTAATTTCTTGATTTTTTGACAATATGTTTTGCCCTTGTCTTTTTCTATTCCCTTACATGTTTCTAACCATTTGTTTTGTCGGTATTGTCCAATCAGAGTTTTAATGTTCCTGTTCAGTTGGTTCAGGGCCTTTTTTAGGTCGTTATTATGGGTGTAAGTATATAGTCTGTAAAGTTCTCTCTTATGTTTTATGAGTCTCAGTATGAATTTGGGTAGGGTGTGTAGGTGAAAACATTTTTTATTTCAGGGATGAATTTTCCTATCGCTAGTGAAAGTTGTTGTTGTATGGATTCAATAGGGATGGTCTGTGCTTGCAATTGTACGTAGTTATGTATGTGTTGTTTTACTTTGTCTATGTCAGTCTTAGTTAAGTTTAGCTTTTTCTCTTGATTCGATGTACTGAGGGTAGGTTGGGTATGTTTTAAGTCTATGTTAAACGTTATAGCCAGATGGTCCGATTCAAGTTCGTTAGTTAGGCTTATGTTATTAATGGTGCTTGTTAAGTTTGTTGTGTGCAGTAAAACGTCTGGTGTGTAGTCTGGGTTTCCGGGCATCAGAAAAGTTGGTGGGGTGTGCAGTTTTATAAAGTCCGAATTGTCTAAAAATCTTTTAAGTTGTTTTGTTTTGTTTTTGTTGAAGTTAAAGTCGCCCACAATAATTGAGTATTTTTAAAGACTTGCTTTGGTCAGTATGTTTTGTTCTAGGTTGGAGTGTGGATGTATGTATGTCAGAAATATGTGTATCAGGTCGTTTAAGTAGGGTATAGTAACATGTATGCAGTCGTTCAAAGGGTTGTTGAGGTGGGGAGGATTTGCTTTGCCTAGTTTGGTGATGGGTTTGAGGAGCACTGCGGCGCCGCCCCTGGCGTGACTGGCGGAATTGCCATGTCTACATATGTACTGCCAGTTTCTGTACGTCGGTATCTGTCCGGCTTTGGTAATGAAATCCATTTTGCCGTTTTTAGAAACTTTTAATCTAGATTGAACACCGGGGTCTGCAAGGTTTTACAAAATTTTAAAATGTCCAAATAACTAGGGAGGTGCAATTCTTTTGAAAGCGAGTGTATATCATAGTCAGCAAAAATGGGCGGGCATCTGGGTCAAGTGAAACGGTCTGGCAGATCTAATAATTTCTTCGCGGATCCATGGAAGATGCAGGTCAGAGTGCATTGCTGCATTGACGTACCACGGACTTCTCGCAAGGCATCGTAGTGTTTTTGACTGGAATCTTTGCAGAATTTCTATGTTTGATTTACTGGCATGCATGATTTACTGCAGTACCCCACAGCTGAATGCCGTACGTCCATATAGGCTTCAGAATTACTTTGTTCAAAAGTACTCCGTTGTATAGGCTTAATTGTGATTTTCGATTTGTCAGCCAGTATATCTTGTTAAACTTTAAATTTCGTTCTTTGCGCTTAACTTGAATGTGCTTTTCCCAGGTCATCCGTTTGTCAATATGCATCCCCAAGTATTTTGCTGAAACATCTTGAGGTATTGGAATTCCATTTAGTGTAACTGGCGGGCAGTCGCCTTTTCGCATAGAGTAGGTTACATTTTTTTATTTCTTTTCGGTAACTGCAATTCTTCATTTAGAGAGCCAGTCTTCAATTTTATTTAGTTGGGTTTGCATGGCTGCGGAAGCTTGGACCGGATTTTCATGTGTGGTCATGAACGCAGTATAGTCAGCGAATGTTGAGATAAATCCATCTGCAGGTATGTCAGCAGTGAACAAGTTGTATAGTGTCCAAGACCTGAGCCTTGGGCCACTCCCGCCTTTATATCTCGCATCTTAGATAGAGATTGATTTACTCTGACTTGAAACATGCGTTCGGTCAAGTATGATTTGAGTAAGTGCTGGATTACCCAACGTCGTAATTTTATTCTTAATTCTTAATCCTTAACTTAATTCAAAAAATCCAAGTTAACACCGCGTGGTTAAATGCGTTTACCCAAGTCCTTAATTCATAAACGTAACTTAATTCTTAAAATTTGACCTTCAAAAGTTTCCTTCAGAAATTCCCCATGTTTTTCCAAAAGTGCGTTTACAGGTCCATAAAGCCCTGATCGCCTCGTTTGTTTTCTGATCCACATGTTCTTTAAACAACTTCTTATTCAGGGTTACCCCAAGATATTTAACAGTGTCAGACATTTGTATTTTGTTTCCATATATAGACATTTGTCTTAGGGCTCTAAGATCTCTCTTCCGTGTGCAAGCGATAATAGATGTCTTGGATGGGCTAATTTTCAACCCTTCCGTGTTACACCATTGTTCGGTGATGTTTAGCGCCTGCTGCATCAATGATGATACAGTGTCTCCAAACCTTTGCCTGTACAACAATGGAGATATCATCCGCATATCCCAGTGCGTAGAAACCCTTCCCCTTAAGAGACGACAGGAGCCGGTCCAACACCAGGCTCCACAGCAGAGGCGACAAAACTCCTCCCTGCGGACACCCGCCGGCTACCCGTGCTTCCATGCTGACTTCATTGAGTGCGACAGTAACCGTTCTGCATCTCAGCATGTTTTGGAACCATTTACATATTATAGGCTCCACTCCACTATTTTTCACCGCTTTGACGATTTACTGAAAAGAGGTATTGTCAAATGCTCTCTCTATGTCCAGAAAAGCCACCAGAGCAATTTCTTTACGCTCTAATGAGGTTTGTGCCCCCTGCACCAACTCGTGGATAGCAGATTCGCAGGATTCTCCCATTTGGTAGGCATATTGGTTGTGGTGTAGAGGGCTTCTAGTAAGAACCTCTTCCCTGATATGCCTGTCGATCAGCTTTTCTACTGTTTTGAGTAAGAAGATTGTTAGGCTGATCGGGCGAAAGGAATTGGCATGGGCATACGTCGCCCGCCCTTGTTTTGGAATGAATACTACTTTCGCCATTCCCCATTCCATTGGTATATATGCCATCTTGCACAAGAGGGGCATCAGGAAATCGGTTCCCTGTTGTAGCAGGTTGTAGCAGTTCTGTTGATTTAAATGGTCTGAAGGAACTCATGGCCCACTTAACTTTGGACTGGTTTACGATGCTTGAGGCAAGAGTCCAGTGCTCTTTAGGTGCACGCTGTCGCGTCCTGTAGGTCACCGGTATTTCCTATTCTCTGCCTGTTCCCAGTGTTGATCCAAGACAGTGAGTCTTAAGCATAAGCTCCAGAGACTCCTCTTCTGTTGTTGTATATCCTCCCTGTGGTTCTTTTGAGAGTGCTTTATAGAGTCTGGCGTAGCTCGGCATATCTTCGATATCCTTGCATTCCTTCCTCCATGAAGACCTTTTTTCTTTTTTGATGGCGTTGCCATATGTAGTCAGGGATGTTTTGTATTCACCCCAGAAGGCCTCGTTTCGTTTGGCCCTGTTAAATAGCTTCCTCACTGTTTCTCTCATCGTTGAGAGTCCCGGGTTCCACCATTTCCCTTATTACAGACTTCAAGTGATGAGGTCGTGAGGTATTCTAAAAGAGACTCGCCCCGTCTATTGGTGTCACTGCTGCCCCACAAAATGTAGTGCGCGTTTGCATCACACCCAAAGACAGTTATTGTCTTAGTCGTCTCGCGGCAAAAATTTCAGTTAGAAGTGAAATATTTCACGTCTGTACACGTTTGTATGTTCTATAAAATAGCGCTAAATGCAGATATTTACAATTTCTAGTTATTGAGTTATGATTTTTTGAAAAAAGCGGTGCTGCTTCTGCTGAGCTGAGCGAAAATTCAAAGTTTAGGAAAAATATGAATTTAAAATGAAACATTTCCGACATGTAGAAGTTTTTGTGCTCTATATACCAGCGTCAGTAGCAATGGTTTAGAATTTTACTAATAATTTGTGGGTTTTTGAAGAAAGCGGTGCCTCTTTTCGAAGACATTCGAAGTTTCGGTAGACAATGAGAAATTTGGGTTTGAAACAAGTATTAAGGAATTGTAAAGCCAAATGATCAATTCTTCCAATGCAAACCTTCCTAGCGTTCAATCGAATGTTGGCGAATTGTGCCAAACTTTCTCGACTGGAACGAACTGAAATGATCAGCTATTTTTCGATCTCATCCTTCCGATAACTATAAAAAAAGTGAATAAAATAACACAATTCCAGCATAGTCACTGGTTTTGGAGGGACAAATAATAATATTCATTAATCCAAATGACCCTTCTATTGATATTCACATTAAGGTCAATAAATGGGGCACCATTTCCATATTTTAAAGTAATTTCCGATGATTCCACGCAATTCAGTCCAGTCATTGTTCGTCAAGTTCTGAACGTTCACGGTCGATTGGTTTGTGGAGTCAAGATGGCCGAGCAACAAAAATTGTCGAAACGTCGCGAAATGAACTGGCTGTACGTTCTGTTTCAGCTGCAGGTCAATTCATCGGCTGTTTTTGCCATTGGCTATCTGATCAGCTACGGATGTTTATGGAAAACTGTTTTCTTTGGTAAGGATTCACTAATATTCAAATGAACGTTAGCAGTAAGAGTTTTTTGTAGGCATTTTTCTGATAAGTTTGGGCACTTTGGGGCAATTTGCTGGAGCGCATCGCCTTTGGGCGCACGCCTCCTATAAAGCCAACACTGGATTGAGGTTGTTTTTGATGCTTTGCCAAACACTCGTTGGCCATGTAAGTTTTTCTTGGTAGAAATAATATTTGTAAGTCCTTAATCGTCCGCCAATCCTTTCAGGGCTCGATCTATGAGTGGGTGCGCTGGCATCGCCTCCATCACAAATACATCGGCACGGACCTGGATCCCTACAACTCGAAAAGTGGCTTTTTCCAGGCCCAGTTCATCAGTTTGACCATGGACTTAAGCCCCGCCCAGCAGGAGGCTTTGAAGGAAATCGACGTTACCGACCTGGAGAATGATAAGATAGTGATGTTCCAGAAAAAGTACTCGGTTTGCAGGTAACAATTGTACCAACTGGAGTTAACGAGGGGACTTTAGGTGGTACAACATGCTGTTCTTCCTGCTGGTGGCGCTGCTGCCAGTCAACGCGCCATGCGAGTACTGGGGAGAGGGAATCTTGACGTCGGCAATGCTGATTGGCTGGCTTCGCTATGCTCTCACCTTGCACGCCACCTGGCTGATTCACAGCGCAATCAACATCTGGGACTTGAAACTGGACGAAAAGTAGGCCAGCAGCTTTTTCCAGTTGAACCGAAGCCCACTGGGAATTGATTTTTTCAGATTCCCTGCCGACACCAACCTGGTCTTCATCCTCACCAAAACTTACTGGATTTCCTACCATTATCTGAGCCCCTGGGACTATCAAGTGAGCGAGTTTGGCAAGTACGGCACTGACTGTGTGACCAAGTTCATCAGAGTGTGCGCCGCCTTGGGGTATGCCACCGACCTGAAGACGATCAACAGCCGAAACGTACGTGAGGCTGTCAGCCGATCGGTGAACGAAAAATTGCCCATCAGCCAATGTTTGGCCGAGGGCATGCAAGTGGTCGAGCCCAATGGTGTAGCGTCCAAGATTTGCTGCTCATAGTTGCAGTTTCGTTAAAAAATATTTTTACTTATTTAATTTTGTTGTGTTTGTTTGATTAAAAGAAGTTACTAGTCATTTTTTTATTGTTGAAACGATCATGTTTTCACCAGATAGGAAAGCTTAGTAAAGTTGCTGGTTTCTGCAGCCTTTTGTCATCACAAAGAGTTATAATCAGCCTGTGTGTTTGAGATTGAAATTCGAAGACGTTCTGCAGATTTTTTTTGTTCTGCTATGGAAGCTCTAAAAAAATATGCAAAAAGGTGATCCGAGAAGCCGTGCAAAAATAAAGCGACTGATTCCACTGCTCTTAGCACATCCAGCTGTTTGGAGTGGTTCAAATGGAGGATAGGGCGCCAGCTTGCAGAAAGCTGGTAAGAATTTATCATCACAGAGTTAAAATTACAGAGTATTTATTCAAAATGAAACTTTGCGGACTTATGAAGCCTTTCATGCTCTACGAAGTAGCAGGAAAAGCAATTGTCTAGGAATTTTCGTTTTTTAGTGATAATTTTTCAAAAGCAACCCTGTTTACACTGGATCTGCTAAATTGAGACAAGACTGAAAGTATCGGTAAATACTGTTAACATTTGAGTTTCACATTAACCCTTTCGTACTTATAGAGGCATTTGAGCTCTGTGAAATATCGCTATGGGCAATTTTGTCAATTTTTCGGTTTTACTTTATGATTGTTTAAAGGAAGCTCTGCGCTTTAAGATGGGCCAGAATTCAAACTTTCGACAAAAATTGGACAAGTATGGATTCAAAGTGAAACTTCCTGAGCTTGAAGGCGGTTTTCTGTTCTAAAGAGTAGCGGAAATTTCAATTTTGTAGGAGCCCTAGTTTTCAAGATTAGATTTTTTAAAGAAACCGTGTTTTGCGCAAATGATAAAATGTGCCATAATTAAATGTTTCGACACAAATTGCAAAATTCGGGTTTCAAGTGAAAAATTCTTAGCGTGTAGATGCTTTTGTTCTCCATCAGACACTATTAGTGTCAGATGTTTAAGATTCTTCCGGTGCCTGTGCAAAAATGAGCCAATTGTCAAAGTTTTCCTAACTTATTCCCACAATTACAAACCGTGATTCAAAGTGAAACTGTTAGAACATGTTGAAAATTATCAACTCGAAAGGCCTGGCAAATAATAATTGTCCAGAGGTTTTCGTTTGCGAGTTATGATTTTTAATAGGAACCTCCTTTGTCCCGCAGAGGTTGAAACGAGGTAAGACTTAAAGCTGCGTTAAAAACTGCCAAAATTTGGATTCAATGCGAATAATTCCGGACGCGTATACGTTTTTCTGTTTTATAAAATGCCTTGGTTGGAGGATAATTGGTATATTTAGTTTTCAATTTATGAGTTCTTGAAGCAAGCCGTGCGCTTTTGCCAGATTTCAAAATGGGCTAAGTTTCAAAGTTTTGCCAAAAATTGGAGAAAGTTGCATTTAAAGTGAAACTCTTTGAGCTTGCAGGAGATTTTGAACCTCAAAACCGATAGAAAGCGTCATTGTGTAGATGTCTATGTTTCCGAGTTATGATTTTTTAAAGGTAACTGTATTTTTTCGTGCTTGTAAAACGAGCCACGCTGAGACCATGACTGAGTGGTGAAAGAGAGGCACCTTAGAGCTAACGGCACATTCTAACAAACAAAATTTTTCGTTTGAATTTAGGAATTATTCTTTCTTGGGACATTTAACTGCAACTAAATATAACTTTACTTATCGTATACATAGAAAGCAAGACCACAATTTACAAAAGCTGTAGACAAAAAAATATTTTCTTCCAAACGTCCGGGTACTCGTCCTTTAATGCACTGGAATTCACTCTGTGAAAAAGAATGAAAGAGAGGAACGAGTAAAAAGACTTTACTCTGTGCGTTTAAACTTATTTTACTTCCTTGCTGGAGCGACTATCCAATTTGAGGGTGGAATAGTTTTTACAGCTACGTCGTTGGTCATTTTGGGATTTTTTGAACTTTTGAAATATCTTGAAAACTAACGAAGTTTCGGCCAAAAGAGTGCAGGTATGCGCCAATGGAGCCGTCGAACGGTTCCCAACATTCCGGGTTGATTATCTGCCAAACCGTTGCCAATGCCGATTTTTTTAAGACAGCTAAACTCTAGCGAATACCTGTGGCCACCGAGAACATTTTTTATTTTTTAAATATTGCCAACCGTTGCGGAGTTATGAGCAAATAAGTGCTCAAACAATGTGGGTGGCAGTTTTAGTCTCTCTAACTCCAAAATCTATTTTCTACGAAAGTATATACGAAAACCATGTTAATGAATAGTGGCATTTTGATCTAAATTTGACTTTTAAGTGAAAAATTTACACATTTGCGATTTTGAAAAAGCTCAAAAATTGCCAAAATTTAAAAGAAAAAAATATAAATTGCAAATTTTTTTCTTTATGTGGCGCTGAAACGGTGAGCAAAATAAACTTTGGCCGTGAAACAAATTTTTACGCCAAGTCTATGGGCTTTTTAGTGGTTTTTGAATTTCTGAAAAATGTTGATAACTGACCGATTTACACGGTAAAGAGTGTAAGTATGTGCAAGTTTGAGAGTGTTTCGCGCTTGCCAATATTCAGAGCCCATTTCCTTCCAAACTGTTGCAAATACAATTTTTTTCATAGACGGAATAGTCGATAATTCACTTAGCAAACAATCTCAAGTTGTATGTTGAAAATAAATTGAGGTAAAAATTTAAAGCAGTTTGTTCGGAAAATCGCGTTTTCTACCTTCAAATCATCATAACTAAGTTTTTCAACCGACCGAATTTTCCGAGACGCAGTTTTTCGACAAAATCGTACGTTTTCAACAACTTTAAAAATTTCCAAATCGGCCCGATATTAACACCGTTATGCAGAAAATTTCAACACTTAAAAGCGGTTTTCCCAAAAAAATTGCGACCTTAAATCCACAAAGAAAACATTGATAACATTTGTCTTGAAACATTGTCTTTTCGACCTTCAAACTCATGACTTTCAAGTTTTCCAACCGAGTTTACATTCGCAAAATACGATTTTTAGACCAACTCACTCGCTTTAGAACTAATTTTTAATGATCCAAATAGGGCCTGTTTTAAGAGTTACACCAAAAAGTCCGCAACTAACATTTAAAAAAATGCCGCATTTTTTGTATATTATTTTAGTATTAATTTCCAGCTGCATTTACTGTCCACATCTAGCAGCTTTTCTTGGATTTCCACCTTTCCTAAACATACAAATTGTTATTTAATTTTGTTACCGCTGCTCTGACGGAATTTTGGGGAAAATCAAGTCCTGAACCCAAGACCAAGAAAACCCAAATGTTTTTACATTTTCTATATTAAACAAACAAACGCGCTATAAAAAATACAAAATTGTGAAAACTCGACCTCCTACTATTGGCACTGTTTACATAAAGAAATTAACCCTACTTAAACCAATGGATAACTGGCTTGCGTGGCAACTCCACATTGATTATCCTGGTTCCTGGCCATTTTAATGTAGCCGTCCAGCCCCCAGGTGTCTCCCCATGAATTCTTCACCAACCAGTAGTCCATGCCAGTTTTCTCATCAGTTCCATATCCCACAACCAACACGCCATGATCCAGCTCAGTAGAGCTGCATGTAGGATCAGAGTAAACACCATTTGAGTAAAGCTGGAACGACTCATGGCTGGCATCGATTGCAATGGAAATTGGACCCACAGTAGCTACGGCTGCTTTCAGCTTATCTTCATCTCCACTGGGAATGTCCACGAATCCCTTATCGGTCGCTCCACGGTTCTTCGCGCTGTAGCGGCACTTTTCATCCTCTCCCATGTAGGGGTAGGCGGCTTCCGTGTCGATTCCGCCATTGTTTTTGATATAGCGGAAGGCGTTGTCCATTAAACCTCCATTGCAGCCGTTGTTGCCAAAGCGGGAGGAACAATCCACCAGGTTCTGCTCACTTAAGGAGACCAGCTTTTTGGTTTGTCGGAAGTGTTGTCCTTCTAAGGCTCCAGTCTAAGCAAACACGGAAATTCCGGTGTTAGTTTTATGGGAAAAGGCCGAAGCCTAGAAAGTCTTGGTTTCCTCATGATTACTTACAGCACTGAAACTCCAGCAGGATCCACAATGTCCCTGGTCTTTAACAGGAGTAACAGCTCCCTCTTGCCTCCAGTCAACAGTGTCGGGAATATCCACATGAGCAGGCTCAATGAAGGTGATGGAATCTTGCAATTCTCCACGCTTCAAGTAGGTTTTCGTCCGGTTGAAGCCATTGAGAAGGCCCACGAACTCGTGATGGAGCAAATCGCCGTATTTATTCATGGCCAGTTTGTACGGATATAAACCCTGTTCAAACAGCTTGTTGTGCTTGGCCACTTTGTGCGAATTGTCCATGAAGATTTTCATCCTGAATCGTTCTTCGGTTTCCGACTCGTATTGCTTCTTATGCTGAACCTAAACAAAAGCAAGCGGGAAATTCAAGAGCAGGATTCAAAATTTGATCTGTAGACAATAATTCCAACAAATGTGAGGTTTTGATGACAGACAAGCCTAAAAAGAATCTAATGTTTCCTAGATATTGGGTAAGTTTTTCAAATGTTTTGCTCTCCCAAATAATTTGTTTTTTCCTTAAGAACTAATGGATGTGTTTGTAGGAAAGCAAAAATATGAAAGAATTACACGTAGTCAGGCAAATAAATCAAGATTTCAAATTGTGCCTGACTCATAACAATTTTTTTTCCGTTTCAACAAAATTGGTTGCAAATCAATTAATTTTTAGTACTTAGTAACAGTCACTACATGTCCCAGATAGAAACATGGAAAACTCATTAAAGCAATTAAAACAATCAGAACATTAAAAACAACAAAGTAGCGATTTTTTTTCTCCTCAAATCACCCAAAGCCAGCCTTCCATATCGTTTTACTGATATGAGCAATGACTAAAGTCATGTGGTGTGCATGGCAAATAAACAACAATCATTATAGGCATAGATAAAGCAGTAAATGGTAATTTCTGCTTACATTTAGGATCAACAATGAATAACGGTAATCGGAACCTTTGACCCTCCCTGTTGCTGATATACGCAGTATGTTGTTTTAAAAAAATCGACAGAAATCCACATCACATGATGGGCGATCCAAATAAGTTGGTAGAAAATTTCCCAATTGTTATTCGACAATTTTCGAACCAACCGTTTAATAACAAACGACTAAATGCTTACCTTAAAACTATTCCATTGCTCCTGGACCAGTTCCGAGAAAGAAACCGCCTGGCAGGCAACAGCGATTGTCACCAAAAGGACTAAAGTCTTCATTATTGTCGATTTTCTAGAAAAACATAAGTTTTTAATTATCAAATTTTAATTGATTGTATATTCTTTAAATAGTCTTTTTAAAAATCTTACAACCATTTGAGTTTCATTTTGGGGAAACAAGCTCAGATTTAGCAAGCAGGACAAAACTCCTTACATCGCAGGGGTGATAAAATTTGAATGAAACTTTGAAGAATTTGAACTTAACTCCCTTCAAGTATCTTAGAAATTTTACACTTTTCACGTTAACCAGTTGTACTAGACAAATTTTTGAAAATTTATGTGAGACAATTATTACTTGGCAATTTTAACATCTGTTAATTTTTCAATAAAGATCTTTTTTAAGTGAAAGTTTGAGCACATGGAAACTCAACTATTATGAAGCAGACCTGAACATTTCCTGTTTCTAGGAGAACGGGTTTTGTCCTCGACGAACTTTTGAAAATTGACTATCAATGAGGGACAAATTTTACTTGCAAAGATCAGTTTTAACATTTTTATGTTTTTCAATAATGATCTATTTTGAGCAAAATTTTTGCGAAATTACAGACACATCTGTACCTAAAAATGTCTAAAAACTTTCTGCTTCTAAGTAAACCGGTTTGTGCTGGGCGAATTTTTGAAAATTGACTTTTAATGTGCGACACATTTGAATTGGCAGGATCAAGTTTTAGCATATATGAATTTTTCAATAAACATTCAAATTTAGTGAAACTTTGCGCACATGGAAACTCAACTATAATGAAGGAGACCTGGACATTTCCTGTTTCTAGGTGAACCCGTTTGCCCTGGACGGTATATTGAAAATTGACTTTCAATGAGGGACAAATTTTACTGCAAAGATCAATTTTGCAATTTTTACGTTTTTCAATAATGATCCAATTTGAGTGAAACTTTTTTGAAAATAGAGACACATCTGTACCTAAAAATGTCTAAAAACTTTCTGCTTCTAAGTAAACCGGTTTGTGCTGAACGAATTTTTAAAAATTGGCTTTTAATGTGGGACACATCTGAATTGGCAAGATCAAGTTTTATCATCTGAATTTTTCAATAAACATCCAAATTGAGTGAAACTTTCAGAACATGGAAACCTAACTTTAGTGAAGCAGACCTGAAATGTTCCTGTTTCGAGGTGAACCGGTTTGCTCTGGACGGTGTTTTGAAAATTTACTTTCAATGAGGACAAAGTTTATTTGCAGAGATCAATTTTAACATTTTTACGTTTTTCAATAATGATCTATTTTGAGCAAAACTTTTGCGAAAATACAGACACATCTGTACCTAAAAATGTCTAAAAACTTCCTGCTTCTAAGTAAACCGGTTTGTGCTGGACGAATTTTTGAAAATTGACTTTTAATGTGCGACACATCTGAATTGGCAGGATCGAGTTTTAGCATCTATGAATTTTTCAATAAACATCCAAACTTTAAGAAAATTGGAAAACTTTGTGCTTCTAAGTGAACTGGTTTGTCCTGGACAAATTGTTGAAAATTCACTTTAAATGAGGAATTATTTTTACCTGGCAATACCTAACTTTGAACGTTTCTTTGTTGTCCAATAATCATCTAATTTGAGTGAAACTTTGCATGTATAACAACTATATGTGTAACAACTGCATGTATTTTAATATATATAAAAACTTTCGATTTTTAAGTGAACTGGTTTGTCCTGAACGAATTTTTGAAAGTTGACTGTAAATGTAGAACAATTTTTACTTGGCAAGCCTAAATTTTAACTTTTCTATACTTTTCAGTGATGATCTAATTTGAGTAAAACGTTATAAAAATGAAGACTTAAGTGAACTAAAAAAATCAGAAAACTTCCTGGGTCTAAGTGAGCTCCTTTGTCCAGCACGATTTTTTGAAAATTACTTTTAATGTGGAACAATGTAACTTAATTTTCCTAATAATTATAACTTTTAACGTGTAGAGTTTTAAATAAATATTTCGATGGAGTCACACTTTGCTGAAATGGAGATCCACCTTTTTTGAAAAAAAAGAACCAATTGTTGAAAAAAAGACCTTTAACGTGAAACCAATTTTTTTTAGAAACTTTGAGAAAATTGAGACTCTTCTGCTGTTAAAACTGCCTGAAAACTTCCTGCTTCTCACTGGACTGCTAATTTTTAGAAATCTACTTTAAATGCGAAACAATTTCTACTTAGCAACATCAACTGAATTAAAACTTTGAGGAATTGGGAGACTCAACCGTGCCTCAAAATACCGAAACATTTTTAGTTTCCAGCTTCACTGCTTTGTGCTAGACAAATTTTTCAAAATTAGCTTTTGAAAGTATATTTTAAATGGTTTGGAAACGACTTCTAATCGATTCTAATTGCTTCATTGTTGGCGAAATCTAGCAATAACGCAACTATTAGAGTTCAATGAGAAAGTCCTATTTAATGACGAAATGTATACCATTTATTTCTGTGATCATCAATGTATCAAAGAACGAATTTTTCCCCAAACAGAACCAAATGAAAAAAATGGGTAAAAGAGCTTCAAGCTTACCAAAAGACTTGTTACACTAAAGACCTTCAAGCACAGTATGACAAATGCAAAGCACTGCGTACTTTTGAAGATTACGCAGCTAAATTACTGCTGACCACTATTTACCAGTTAAAGCAAAACAAAGAAATTTTCGGGCCTGGCTTTGTTATCAACTAAATCAATTAAAATGTAAATTGTTTGCGATGTTGCCGACTTTCCTTGGTCTACTTAATAACTTAGAAAGCTCTAGAGAATGTGAACAGTGAACAATTTTTTATAGGTCGAAAAGTAATCAGCCCCTTAATGTTAAGGCTCAACAGCAAGTTAGGTTAGATCTGCTTGTCTAATTGTCATTGGCTGACAAAAAGGCGAATGAGAACTGATCCTTTTTGTCTGCGTTCACTAGATGGTAGTAGAGATTTTCTTACGAAAGAAATAAGTTCTAATAAATCCCACATGCTGGGGCTGAGGCCATCTAGATGAAGCTTAAACTCAAAACTCAAGACATTGAGTAAAGATCAATCGAGAACTCCTGATCTGTGGAATTTCATGTTTTTTAACTTTGGCGCCGCTTCAAAACTTTCAATGTTAATCCACTCATCCACCACGGTTTTAAGCCCCTTTGGTTTACTGAACTCATTGTTTTTAACAAAATTAAAACTTTTCTTATCATTCATGTCAAGGGCTCAACGGTGTTAATGTGGATTACCCCAAAATACGTTTTTTTTCAACTCATTTTGTTCTCAAACAGATTTTTTATTTGATTATGTTTTCGGTGCCGTTTTTGCTCATTTTTCGGACGCAAAACGAGCCAGAGCGCTTATTTTCACATAATTCCAGAGAGAACTAAATGGCCTTTTTAGAAATTGAACCATCGGTAAAGAAATGTTGGCAGTTTCCTCAAAAAAGTATTGATTTCAAGAAGTTTCAGATTTGCGTTTTTTTTTAGTTGACGCTGCTTTTTTCGAAGTTTCTCAATAACCATTTGAGCACAGAATTCGTTTTGGCATCGTCGGATAGAAAATTGAAAATTCGATTCAGTCATAACAACATGAGTGAGGAAATTCGGGTAGTTTTGACCCAGAAAGTGAAATTTTAATCATACGCTTAGGTGCAAGTTTATGCAAAAATTTCAAGTTTTCCGTCACGTTTTTGCTCCCTTCTCGGAAGCAAAATGAGCCAGAACCATTATTTTCACATCATTCCAGAGAGAACTAAATGTCCTTTTTAGAAAGTGAACAATCGATAAGAAAATGTTGACAGTTTTCTGAAACAAGTCTTGATTTTAAGAAGTTTTAGATTTGCGTCTTTTTTTGAGTTCCAAAATGGACTCAAACACGACGCTGCTTTTTTCGAAGTTTCTGAAGAGCCATTTGAACCATAGAATTTGTTTTGGCATCGTTGGATAGAGAATTGAAAACTCGATTCAATCATATCAACATGAGTGAGCAAATTCGATTGGTTTTGACCCAGAAAGCGAAATTTGAATATCATACATTGAGCAGCGGCGGATCCACCTTTCGAGTCAAGGGGGGGTCATTTGGGAGACATTCAGTTTCGTTGTCATGACCCCCATGTCCCCCAGCACCCTCCACCCCTGGATCTGCCATTGCTATCCCATCAAGTTCTTAAGTGACCAAAATTCAAAAAGTCTTCGGCCAAATAACGTTTGTTTGGACGCAAGTAGTAGAGCGCGAAAACTTTCTTGCTACAGGCAAGTTTTAGGCGATATTTTTGGCACAGGTTTGTGGAACTACCTATTCATTTAGATTTTTCTCCCTGGTCTCCCCGATGGCCCGGTATTAATGGCAGCGATTTGTTTCGCAGCCATCCGGTACATTGAAGGCTGGTCAGCTGAGACAATTTTGGGGCGATTTCTACTCGATCGGTGAGCATAAATTGCATGTACAGAAGAGAAAGGACCGTCTGAAGTGGGTCAATAAAGGCGATCTCAAGCAGATGCTTCGGGACATGGTGATTTTTGAATGTATTGAGCGCTTTCACCGCGAAACCGCAAAAGTTGAAGAAGCATCGGAATCTGACAATCAAACGATCACTAATGTTACGCCATCGGCTATTCGAAATCGTAAATTATACATTATTTATGATGTCACGATCAGCAAATGAAGGTGATTTATAATTCTCGTCTGTTTCTTCTTCACTTGCCGTAACGCAATAATTAAAGTGCAGCTCAATCTAGGCGCAATTAGTGGGAACTGTGAACTCTTTCAACATGGGAACCTGAATGGAAAGTTGCGTTTTCACAGCTTTTCTACGTGTGCCAGATGGTGTGATTAATTACTGTGCGAGTGGGAATAAGATGCAAATTTACGGTGACAAATATATTTTTTTTCTAAAAAACATAAAAACTTTATACAAAAACAATTAAATTTGATGTTGTTACGATCACTCGATGTAGATGTTGTGGCTGACAGTCGTTGAGATGCATCATGACCCGTGTTGAGATGGTAATTGCGATGTTAGGTACACTTAATCAGTTCTTTCAGCTGTGGGAGCTTAGTAGGGAGCTCCGTAGCTGCCGGATGGCCTGGAAGGTCCGCTTGGGTAGCCGCTGAAGCCCTGAGCCTGGGAAATCTGGTTGTATTGAGCCACTTGGATGGCTTGCTTGATACCCTCCAGGTCGATTCCCACCACTCTGGTGCTGTAGCTGGGCACTCCGTATTGAGGAGATGGAGCGCCGTATTGGGCGGATGGGGCTCCGTAGGAGGAGCTGATGCCGCCTCCGATGCTGGAACTGGAGGCTGAGTTCTGCTCTTCTTTGAGGAGGATCTGGCGAACTTGCTCAAGAAGAGCGGGGTCGACAGACGCACCTTCGGAGGTCTGGTAGCCGGAAGACACGGCCGTGTAGCCGCCACCGCCTCCGGACAGCCCACCGCCCAGTGAGATGCCGCCCCCGATTGAGCCGCCTCCGCTTGGCCTACTGTAGCTGTAGCCAGAAGGAGGCTCAGCGATAGCCACTGTGGCCAGGGCAAAGGCGAGTACCTTTAAAAAAAATACATATTTTACTTCCTTTATTTGCACAAAAAAGCATCAACGAGTGCATCAATTCTATGAAATTTGGCACAGCTGTTCTTAGAGATCTTGCGTATACACTTTGAAATTTTCAGAGCCACATCTCTTTTGCTTTGGAAGTTATGATTTTTTTTTGCTGAACTGCGCAAATGAGCGTCAGTGTCTAGATATGGGAAATTTTAAACTTAAAAATCAAATTAATGGTGTCTGCTGATTTTCGCGACATTTGGCAACACCATGTATTGATCTCCATGTTATATATTGGCAAAAGTCCAGACTGTGTGCTGGTTTGCAAGTGAAGAATTATCAAAGACCCGACAGCCCCATTGAGAAAAATCCTTTTTTAGGCAAGGGCTCATTTGAAAATTTGTGAAAAATTGGCAACCTGGCTGAATTCACTGAACTTTGGCACAAACATAGAGCGGTTATCACGTTATCAACCTGGAAATTTTCAGATTTGTAGCTGCTGTAGTTGGGAAGTAACCAATTTTTTTAAACTATTCATTACTGTGGGCAGGTTTAATAAATTAGAAACAATTGTGAAATTGCGTATTTTAGTAAAATTTGACAGCAGGGTATGCTCATATATACACTTGATCTGGTTGCAAATCTTCAGGCTTCTGAGATCGCTAGTTTGTAAGTTATGAAAGTTTAAAGAGAGAAAAGCCTTCTTTTCAGATTTGGCCAATTTTAACCGTTTCTAAAAGTTTCATACAATTTTTTAATTTTGTTAATTTTTAAACCCATTTTCCAGTTACACTTTGCCGAAATTTGACAGGAATTCGTGCTGTGGATTGGAAGTTTTGAATTTTCAAATACGGAACTGCACTAATCAAAGAAATATTTTTTTGAAATTTTCCATTTGAAAATGTATAAAAAAATTTACCAGGCTGAATGCAATGAAATTTGGCGCAACTGTTTACTGATCACTCTGTTATAAATTTTGAAAATCACAGACTTCTATCTCTTTTATTTTGGAAGTAACGAAACTTTGAAAGCGCAGTTGTGCTTTACATGGAAATCGTCCTTTTGGTATGAGCTGGTTGAACAATCTGTTAAAACTAAATAAGGCGACTACTCTGGAACTTTGGGATGACCATACAATTTTATACCAGCTTAATTTTTGCAAAATTTCAGCCCTCTGCCTCTTTTGGGTGAAAAATGACGACTGCTCAAAGACAGAACTGAGCTGAGATTCAGTACAAATCGGTATAGGCAAAAATTTGAAAAAATGCTGAAAGACAGCGTGATATATAAATTAATTAAAATTTGAAAGGCTAGTCAAGAGCACTTTTCGTTATAGATTTGCAAAGTTTCCAACTAAAATATGGACAGTTTTTGAAGTTTTAACTGTATAATTAAATTTTTTGTATAAATGAGCAATTTTTAAATGTTCCTAAAATCAATGCGAATCAGTGCAGAACTCAGAGCTTTTGGCACAACTGAATATTGATCCTTATGTTAAAAATGTGGAAATCGCAGACTATTACACCATCTGGTTTGGAAGTAACGAATTTTCCCAGGAAGACTGCGCTATGCAGGAAAACCAGCTTTTTGACATGGGCAGTTTGAAAAATTTATAAAAACTGAATAAGCAGGTTGAATTTCTGGAATTTTGGCTCAAGCAGACAATTTTACTGAAGCTTAACTTTGACAAAACTTTAATCCTCTGTTTCTTCTCCGTTATAAACTAAAAATTTTCAAAAACAGCAACCGATTTATTTATTCATACAAATTGATATAAGCAAAAATTTGAAAATTTCCTGAAAAAAAAACCGTCTGGACAAAATCACTAAAATTCGGATAGCTAATCCAAAGTACCTTTGGTTATAGATTTGCAAAGTTTCCAACTAGAATCTAAACAGATTTGAAAATGACGAGTTTTTGAAGTTCAAACTGCACAAATGCAAAAATAACTTTTTTGATTTTTGCTAGCAATTTTCAAAATCCTCTCAAAATCAATGTGATTTTTTAATTTAATTCAGTTTGATAAAACTTAAAAAGGGACAATTCACAAATTTCCACAACCTCAATGTTTGATACTTTGCAATTTGTTATACACAATGTACCAAATAAAAAGTGCACTGCTAACAACGAAAAACCAATTTTAAATTTAGTTGAAGTACAAAATTTCACAATTTTGCAATTTTACTCGATTTTGCATCATAGACGTAATTAATTTGATTAATTAACATTATTCATTCAACATTAATTCTTAATGATTAATTAAGATTACACTAAAAACCAACGAGAGCCTCAAACACCCACCAAAAAACGATGCTTACGCAAAAACCAGAGCAAATCTAAACAATCGGAAAAAAACTAAAACAATCGGGAAAGCCGAAGGAACTATACAAAATTAATTTTAGGAACCGGCAATCAAAAAACCTAAAAAAGATAAGGAGAAGCAAAAAAATAATAATATCTGGGAGCCAGTAAAGTGCATCTTTACCTGATATGCTGCAAACTTGCAACTAAATCATGATTATCAAGCCATTAGAAATGTTTAAAAAATAACCAATAAAAGCTACTTCAAAGATCTGGGCAAGGCGGCAAATAGCTCTTAACAGTTGCAAATTAATTAAACAACGATGAGAACTGTTGATGTTCATCCGAGACTTTCTCCACTTTGGTTACATAGAAGACTTTCCCATCCATAGTGACATCAGCCCGGAAGCGATTTACCGACAAAGAACTACCGTTTGTTTGTTTTGCCTTTAGCCGCTGGTAGAGAAATGATTTATTATTCCACTTCGCATAATTACCAGCGATGAGAATCAGTTGCACTAGATCTAGCCACTAATATGTGTTATTAGTGGCCATGTCTGCATTGGATGCTTGATGAGGGCTTTCAAGTTGAACTGGGCCGTTTCAACAATCCCCCAGCTCCCAAATGAACAGTGATTTGTAACTAATTTTTAAATAAAAAAAAAAAACGTTGTTGACTTGACTTGGGTTCTGAAGAGAAAAACGAGGCTGAAAAGGTTGAAGACATCAATTGACGCCTGAGTCTGAGACTTTACCAATAATTTAATTTTGAAGTCGTCAGAAAGAAGGAATTTTGCACTAATCAGGAGAAGACTTTTCGCAATTCGCGCCCCAAATTTCAAATCCCCAGCTGTTTTTATTGGAACTAATCGCTATTTCAAGAGTAGCTGCAGACGATAAACAACTAAATTGACTGAAATTGAAAAAATCGGCGTTTGCAAAAAAGATCAGAGAACCCACCTACAAGCCTGCAAGAGAAGAGGTTGGTTCACTTCCAGAAAAAAAATTTACGTTTCCAGCCACGCTCAAGCATATTCAGTGTATTTTTGAAAACCATAATACAATTCGCTGTTCGAGTTGTAAGGGCACGGCTGATAAGTGCAAATAAATCCACACTTATCCAACGTTTTCGATCACAAATTTGCAAAAAGCACTCAATAAACTATCGCCAATTCCCAGTGATTTTAATACAAAAACTCACAAGCAATTTTGACAACTTTTCGCCTCAACATTTTGTTTGAAAATTGGTAAGTTAGCACAACAAAGCAGTATGAGAAGCAAAAAAAAAGTCGACTTACCACGCCAAATGAGTTCATGATGCTTGAGTGATGTCGGGTCTTGTGGTGACTGTACAGTTATTTGGCACTGTCCAAGTTTTATACACACAGCAAAAGAATCGAGGGGGTGGGAATCTGAAGCGCTTCTTCGCAGGATGATGCCATGCGAGTACTTTCACGCATCCGCAGGTCACACACAGCAGAGTCCGGGTGGTTCCTTCTTAAAATTTGGTACATCGAATTATGATTACGACAAAAGAAAAAACTTGTTATTTATTGCCAGAAAATGTGTGGCCCAGACGTTTCGTAAAGTTTAAATTATGTCTGCATGGGTTCGGTAAATTCTGTAACCGGAGCTGGTTGTTTTAAATTTTTTCGTTTAGTGGAAATAGCTTTATTTGGACATGGTGAGGATTTCATTGAACACGCCTTTTACATGTCAGTTACACGGGTTCCAAGCGACAACAGGCCATCAGGGCAGGTGGAATTGTTGCACTCTGAAGTTCTGCAATTTACAAAGTAAATTCGAATTTTTCGCAGAAATGTCGACAAAATTTCGATGGCTTATGGACTGCGCTTTCTGCTAATGCGGTGCAAATTTTGAAACTCTGATCTTTTGGCGTGTAAAAGTTGAGAATTTTCAAAGATAAAACTGCTCGATTGAATGCACGTTGCTGATATGGGCAAGTTGAAAAAAATCCCCAAATGGAACTTGCGCTGCTGTTAATTAGGTAAAAATCACCCAATAATAGAATTTTCTTTTTGCTATTGATATGCAAAAAGCAGATCCTGATCTTTTGGGGGGTGAAACCCACCAATTTTTTTCAAAAAGATATGTGTGTTCAAAACTGGATTCTTCTTAATTAACAAAAATATATAAACGTGCAATGAATTTGAGAAAGTTGTAGATTTTTTAATTCATGGTTTGAATATTTCAAAATGTCGTTGTCTTGAAGTTTCTAAGATGGAAAATTTGATTTTCCAGCGAAGTGCAAGTTTTAATTCTTCCTGAAAACTAAGATGGGGTTGAAATAGAGCGCAGTTTAACTAATCTGACAAATTATTTTTTTCTACGTAAAAATTCAAAATTTTTGACTTTGAGCTAATATGGTTTGGAAGTTACGAATTTTCAAAGGCAGAACCTCGGTGATTCTAAAATCAGCAAACTTTCTAAGGTGTTCAATAAAATTGCAAAACAGTAAACTGAGCACCATCCAGAGCACAAAGTTGTAACTGCTTCCTAAACAGAGCAAATTTACAGCATTAGGAACCTAAAAGCGACAGTGGTTCCCACTAAACTGACAATAACTTCCTCTTTTCATAGAAAAACTGGAAAAATCATCAAGTTTTTCAGATTTTCAGATGGCCATATTCAGCGCAATGAAAATTACAAGTAGAGAAGGAAAGCTCGGTATTTAGCACTTTTAGCTCAAAAAATAACAAATATTTTCACTAAACGCAAGAAAATTGCACCTTTTATTTCTAAAGTGCAACACACTTGGACTGCAATCACTGTTTTTTGTTACGAGATGGAAAAATGTTAAGTGGTCAAAGGACCGAGAAAAATACAATTCTTTCCACCATTTCGGTAGTTTTTTGTCAAATAATCTGAAAAGTTCAATCAATTTGATTATATTTACATTAACCAGAGCATAAAGTAGTAAACGCTTCCAAAGCAGAGCAATTATACAGCGTTTAGAACCTAAAATCGATAATAGTTCCCACTAAACTCACAATAATCGCGGTTTTGATACACAAACTTGAAAAATTATTGATTTTTTCAAATATGGTTTTGTCAAGAGCAGTAAAAGTTGCAGATGGAGGAGGAAACTTGATTGTTGGCGATTTTAGCTGCAAAAATGACAAATATTTCCAATGAGCTCAAGAAAATTGCAACATTTGCTTTCAAAATGAGCCTTCTTGGACTGTAATTGGTATTTCTTTGTCAAGACTTGTAGTCGAATCCACAGAAACTACCAAGAAGAAGGCAATGCTCACATGCGATATTGCAACTAACAAAATTAATGTGTAAATAAATTTGTTAAATTTCAGCCTTTGATCGTTCACAGTTTAGAAATTATTAATGTGGGGCAATATTTGGTCAAATTCCAAAAATTATTAAAAATCACTAATAGCATCAATGTGAGCAAAATTTAGCCCAATTGTACCTTAGTTTTCGAGTTATACATATGCTTTTTTAAGTCCAGAGTTGATGCAGTATAGAAGTTAGAAATTTTTTAAAGGAGGCTTTTGGCACTCGAGAAGAGCAAATATATATATCAACACGTTAACCGATTTAAACATTTAGTGGTACTACACATTAGGCCTCTGGCTATTATCCATAAAAACGTTTTGATTGTATTCTCTTTTTACCGCATAAATATCAATTTTTAAAGATAGAACTATAAAATCGAGAAGTAATATTTCTTGCCATACACATATTTTGTAGAAAAAAATTTATGTCTCATAAAACTTCGACAGAATATAGCAGAATGGTTCACTATGTTTTCAATTAGATACTCGCAAAATTTCAGACTTTGGTCATGTCGAGTTCGAAAGTTATTAATTTTTTAAATTAAGCGGCACAAGGAAAAAAATCACAACAAATGTTTGGCCAGAAATTATTATTTTTAAATATTGTGTGGTTTGAATTAAGAGAAATTTTGCGGTCCCATAACTTCGCTTTCGGGTTATAAATTGGGAAAAATTTTCACGTTTGAAATCAACTGATGTTTTTGGGTAGTTTGATGGGATGGGCAAGGTTTGAGATAACAAAATATCCGAATTTAGCCAAATTTAATACAATGATAAACGTAACTGGCGAGTAAAAAGAAGATAAATTTTATGGTTTTTCGGTTTTCCAGTTTCACATTTTTAAGGGCCGTTTAACCGACAATAACTGCGCTTTTGATAGAGAACCTAGAAAAATCGTCGAGTTTTTCCGATGTGGCTTTATTCAGCACAATAAAAATTGCAACTTGAGGACGAAAGCTCGGTTTTTAGCAGTTTTGGCTCCAACCAAATCGAGATTTTTAGTTACTTCTAAAATTTTTCCATAGCCAAATCGAGATTTTTGATTATTTTCTAAAATTTTTCAATAGCCAAATCGAGATTTTTGACTACTTCTAAAATTTTTCAATAATCAAATCGAGATTTTTAGCTACTTCTAAAATTTTTCAATCGAGATTTTTAACTACTTCTAAAATTTTTCAATAGCCAAATCGAGATTTTTGACTGAAGATGAAAGAATGGGAATATTTCTTGCCATACACATATTTTGTATAAAAACATTTACGTCTCATAAAAATTCGACAGAATTGTTCAGTACGTTTTCAGTTAGATACTCGCAACATTTCAGACTTTAATCATGTCGAGTTAGAAAGTTATTAATTTTTTAAGTTAAGCGGCACAAGGGAAAAAAATCACAACTAATGCCTGGTCAGAAATTATTATTTTTTTATTATTGTGTGGTTTAAATTAAGCGAAATTTTGCGCTCCCATAACTTCGTTTCGGGTTATAAATTAGGAAAAATTTTCACGTTTAAAACCAGCTGATGCTTTCGCAAAATTTTGCTTTGGAAATCTGGTAATTTTTAAACACAGCACTGTTCATTCCAGAAATAATACTTTTTCATATGGACAAGGTTTGAGATAACAAAAAATCCGAATTTGGCCAAATTTAATACAATGATAAACGTAACTGTCGAGTAAAAAGAAGGTAAATTTAACGATTTTCCGGTTTTCCAGTTACCCTTCTTAAATACCGATGGGCATGGCCCAATGGAAGAAGTGCATTTTTCAGATTTTTACAAAAATTGCTTTATAATGAACGTGCTATCAGAACCTTTGGAAATTTCTGTCCAAAATTCAACTTGAGTTGTTATTAATTACCTAAATGAGAAAGTTAGGAAATTTTTAAAATAGAACTGTGCAACCAAGGAATTCTTTTTGACTACTACACTTGTTGTTTTGGGTAACTTTTTTTAAATTAATGGGCTTTTTGATTGGCAACAGATTTTGCACAATGGTAAACTAAGGTTTCGGGTAAATAATTGACAAATTTCAAATTGTAACCTCGTGGAGTTTTTTAGTTACACTTTACTAAAGAAAAGAGTGCACAATTGAAAAAAAGCAATTTTTCGATTCCAAATAAATTTTCAGTGGATTTAAACTTCTGTTTATGTTATAAAATGGCAAAATTTTCTCAAAATCTCACTGAGCTGGAAAGCTAGACATTTCTAAAGCAGTTCTATACAGTCAAACAATTATTTCGACTATACACTTCTTGTATAGGGTAAATTAATTGCAAAAAAATACTGCGTCCTCTAAATTCCCACAAAAGTGACACATATATTCAAAGAAGCCATAGATATTTTGTACATTTCAGACTTTGATCTCTTGGAACTTTTTAGTCACATGTTGGTGAAGAAGCAAGTGCTTAATCGAGAAAAAGCAATTGTCAAATATCTAGAGTTTGTATTTTTTTTAAATGAAGGTTGGGGCAAAACCAAATAAATTTTAGCTCAGCTTTATAGCTGGCTTTCCTTTATCAACTAGCAAAAATCTGAAACATCGATCCTTCTGTTCGAGGAAGTGAGGAACTTTTGAAGAGCGAACTGTTTAATCGAGAAGTAATACTCTGTGTTGGGGCAAAATTAAACTCTTCATTAGTTAATATTTTGTCTGAAATGGGTGAAATTTAGTTGGAAGATAGACCAGACAAAATTTCGAAAATTTCAGTTAGTTATCTTCAGATTTTTTTAGATACAGCTTTGTAAAGGGAGAGTTGCACCATTGAGGAATTGAATTTTTAGCTATCCACATTTCCAAAAAATTTGGAGAATGACAATGTGGTTACAGTTCAAAAAATGCAGTCCACAGCTCAACGTGGCTTTTGGTTACAAATTTCTAAAAGTTGGATTTCTTTAAGTTGAAAAGTAAAAACTGTGCAGCTTCGAACTCCTTAAAAGCCACCTTGAAACCGGAAAAGAATCCCGACTTTCTTAAATTAGGATAGATTGCAAAGTATTTCAGATATTTCCGAGCTTTGAAGAATATTCTCAGTTAAACGGTTAATTTAACTCCGTTGGAGATGACCGTTGTTACCAACGAACAACAAGCCGCTT